CAAGATGAAAAGAGAGGAGGGAGGGAGGGGGGGTCAGATCCAGAGGTGGTTAGGAGGAGCACAACAGCACCTCCACCAGCACCATCACAGGAGATGACCCTGAATCGTTGTGACAACGTGTGATTGTGATGACTGGCAGCAGGTGTGGATGGAGACAGAGGAGGATAAGTGGTTTGATTAGTGATGTCTGCAAACAAGGAAGGTGCAGAGCAGCTGGGGCTAATTAGAGGGCCAATTAGTGATTTTAACTGCTTCATTAGCGAGAGGGGCGGGGCCCAGCAGGAGGAGGTGAGGTGGGGGGAGGGGGAGTTCTGAAAGTGAGATTTGTGCCTGATATATATTGTAAGGCATGTAAGAAGAAGAGTCCACAGGACTGGAAAGGACCAGAAAAGTAGTAGATAAGTTAAGAACATGGAACGAAATAAAATATAAACAGGCTCTATCAAAGGACTGGTAGATCCTGAGCAGTTAAAATATAAAAATGTATATAAGTAAGTAAGTATTCTATAGAGTGTAATATTGACCATACATTACAAGAATTTAACCATATTGTACCATACAGCTACATGCATTTAATATTTATATAAAGTATGTTCAGTTTATATGAATAAATATATTATAATGTTTTCAATGTCAGTAGATTACTTTAACCTGGTCATTTGAATAAGAAGTTTGGGCTCAACTGTTCATAAAAAGTTTTAAAAAGTGTTTTGTTTTTTTTCCAGTTGCTGTCAGAGAATTAACATCTCTGCTGTCTGTCAACAATTCAAACGTATGGTATGGTATGGTGGTGAACCAATAATTTCCCAACACACTCTGTGTCCCTCTGAGCCACAGCCTACCAGAGTCCTGACACTGACTCTGCCGCTCCTCATATGGCCACAATGCAGCCTCCTGCTGACGGCAATTTCAAACACAAAATGTCACAAAGTACCAATCATTGTCACCTGATTTCTTCAACCTGACAATGAGTTGCCCGCAAAGGAATGACATTTTCAATCTACACGTGTAATTTTAGTGAATCACGTCTGTGATGTGGTAAAACAGGAGGTTTGGATCCAGGATGTGCCGCCAGCAAATGTGCAGCAAATGCGGGATGGTATCTATTGACCAATATGTCACTGAGCTACAGGGTTCTTTCCCATGTTGTCATATCAGAGACTAGGTGTATCTCTTTTAAAGACTGGAAACCACTGTATATGTGAAGAAAATACATTAGTTTAACAAGCTTAATAAAACCAAGTCAACCAACAGTTAACAAAGATATGAACAGTAACAATAAATTTCATATAAATATAATAAAATAAATATTTAATGTAAATCCAGTAATTTAACAGATGGAAAAAGACTATCTGTGTTGATACTCAAAAGAAATGTTAATGAACTTGACAAGACAATAAAACCAGAACAAACCGGTTTAACAGGCAATAAATCATTGTCATCTTTAATGGTGATAATGTTGGGATTATGTTGGGACTCAACAAAAGAAATGCTGACTTGATTTCAAATTCGAAACTTTTAACAGACGGAATGTATATCTCACAAATTAATCAAACTACTCGGTCTCATTAATAATACTACAGTTATGTCCAAAATGGCCTCTGGGTGATTGAAAAAGCGTCAATTGCTATTTGTTACCGCTAGGGGACGACAAAATACAGCAAAGAATCACTCCGAATGAGAGACGCAGCAGCAGTAAGGAGGGGTCTGGTCAGTTCTAACCTGATCTAATCTAAACTAATATTTTATATAATCTGACCGATTATGACTATGTGGATTACTTTTCTTTTAGCTCTCAGTTCTTTTTAAATAAATAAATTAAACATGTTTTGGTTAACTTTTTTTATTTAAATTTTAACAACCTTACGTTTTGGTTAATGCTACTTATGCGACTTACACTACATGCTGTTTTCTACCACGGTTTTAGCTCTTGGCATACTATCATCTGTTCTTTGGAAAGTTTTGGCTATTTTTGCTATAGGCTATATGTGTGTCTGCACTGTAGCTCTGTTTTACTTTTTTTTTCTGTTTGTTTATCTACAAATACACTTATTTTTTATGCTACACTTAAACGTACTTCTGTGCACTACCTTGTATATTTTGCTAACCCTTTGTCAAACTTTTGGAAATAGACAGCAATTTATCAGTCATTTGTAATGCTGTGATAATTTGGTATGTGTGTTATATTTAAAGGCAGTTTCAAGGTTAGTGAAGCACCTGCTGTTCTACGGCCCTGACTCAAATACAGAGAGAGACAAGGCCTCACCACAGAGTGATGTCAGGCTGTTCCATCGTGAAAAGTACAGGTTTTGAAAACTGTGTGTGTAACACTGAGGCGTTTTTCAGTTGTTGTGACACCAATCCTGAGAGATGATTTCGTCAAGGTAAAGTCTGCCCTCTAGTTTTCAAAGAGTGTATCGAAATGCTTGTTGGCGTGCGCACAAACGACGGTGAGTCCCTCAAGCCTCATTATCTTCATCATCATCATCATCAGATCCCAGGAGATTGTGAGGCCAGATCTGGGTGAGCTGTGTCTAGGCAGCAGGGGGAGAGAGCGAGAGAGAGAGAGAGAGAGAGAGAGAGAGACGAACCAAGTCCACCACCATCTCCAGCAGCAGCAGCAGCAGCAGCACCAGCAGGAGTGGCCGAAAGGACGTTTATGATGTTACCAAAGAGCTGCTGCTCAGTGCACAACATACAGGAACTGTGACGTCGCTGGCAGAGCGAGGGAGAGAGAGAGAGGGAGAGAGGGAGGGAGGGGAGAGACGGAGGGTGAGAGAGAGAAAGAGAGAGAGAGTTTGTTGCAGCCCAGACCAAAGTGCTCTATCAGCGGCTGAAGGCTGCGCATTGAAGCGCAGTGGACGCGCTGATAACGACAGTGTGTGTGTATGTATGTGTGCAATAGTTTGCGTGTGTGTGTTTATGTTTGACAGTGCGTGGGTGTGGGGGGTCCTGCGGGGCTGACTGAAGACACGGAGACTCCCCTTGTCGTTGTCGCGTCGCTGTGACCGTGTGTTTGGCACAGATGGGTGCGACTGATGCGGTGCCCAGCTGAGCCACTGGTCTCGCCGGGTTTGCTGCATGAATCCAGAGCCGCGCCACGATCCACAGCTCCACTCTGTGAGTCTTCATTTACCACCATTCTTTTTCTTTTTTTCTAATTAGTATTATTGTTGTTCCAACCGCACGCGTCAGCTTCCTTTATCTCTCTCTTCCTCTGTCTCGCCCTGCCGTTCACGCTGTTTTATAAAAACTGAGGCCAGTGTGACATGGGTGTGTGTACGTGTTTGTGTTATAAGGAACGTCAACATACACACACTAACTTCATACTTCCCAGACTTTATATTCCCATCCAGTATAAGAACTGTAGCACCACCCCATGGCTGAAAACTGAGCTAAAGGAGTACACCGGGGTGTGACTGGCTGTAGCCTAGTTACAGCTGTGTATTGTGTGTTTGTGTTCACCTCAGTCAAATGTTTGGCCAGTGTGCTTTGGTCTGAATAGCAGCCATTCATTTCCCAGCCTGTGGCGGTTGGTCATGGGAATCGGCTTGACTCTTTATGACTTGTTTTTCGTTGGAGGCCTTACGCCTCCTGTATTACATACATGTAAAATGGCACTGGTGTTTGTTAGTAGTACTGCTGTCCAAATTTAAACAAGAGCCGCAGGTAGCACCATGAAATCAACACCGAACTACTCAAGGTTGCAACTCTGAATACTGTCCAGTCAAAGATAAGCCCAATGGACCAGAGATAAGAACCGGACTCCCCAAGGCTGCAGATAGGAACAACAGAATGGGCACAACGGAAGGAAGGGAGAAGATCATGGATCCAGATCCAAAACCATGGCCAGGCTCTACCTGTGTCTGCTCCGAAAAGCTGCCCAAGGCTGGAATAGATTTATATACGACGACGATAAACCTGAATTAGACTTCGCCGTCATCTTCTTTGTGCTGTCATGAGACTTTCCTAATTTAGATGCAATACAGACCTGACGATCAAGGAGTTTAACCAGTTGTCTCGGTTTATTCTTCATATACATTCAGAGGTCGCTCATTAACATGCATCAGCAACACTGTCTGGTGCTTGTGTCTGCACCAGACAGCTGCAGCAACAGTCACAGCAACAACAAAAAAATCCTACACAGTTTTTTTTAACTTCAGATGCTGACCTCTTCGACTGGAAGCTGTGGAATTAAACGTTAGTTAGTCCAGTAAGCTACAACATCATATGGTAGGGCAGACCAAAACAAAAACTAAAAGGGCTGAGTTAGCAATGTTTATATAACGTATTTTCTGGACTATAAGTCGCGCAATGTAGTTGCATAATGAAGAAGAAAAAAACCACATGTAAGTCGCTCCAGAGTATAAGTCTCACCTGCAATGTAGTTGCATAATGCCAGAGTGCCCTCTAGTGGCTGTCAGTGTGAAAATAATGAAATGTAAATTTTCAGTGGTACAGGAATAGCAGATACTGGTACACAAGCCTAGACTGCCCTCTAGTGACTGTGGGAAAATAACAAACTGTGAAATTATATATTTTAACATATAAGTCGCACCAGAGTATAAGTCGCAAACACAGCCAAAGGATAAAAAAAGTCTGGAAAATACTGTACCAATAGGTCACTGTGGTTAAAGTGAAGCATTCTACCTTAATCTATCGTCACACAATATGCTATTGTAATAGAATGAATTTCACGCATTCGTTAGCTTTGGAACACCAGCAGCTCAACTTAAACTCAGTGGATGTGCAAGTTGTGAAAGTGAATTTCAAAATGCTGCTGTGGCGCTTCACGCGTCCATGACAAATTCACAGAGGAAAGTGGAGGGTGACACATTTCCTTATGACACCTGAATACTTTTAGCAGCTGCTGTGTTTTCTCCAAGCACAAGAAAGCACCCTCTGCTCTAAAGGTCATTGTCACCGTGGTTATAGTGTTAGCAGCCACTTCTTGGAGTTGGAGTTGCAACCTTTACTCCCAAGAAACCATTCTTTATTGCAGTGCTTCAGGGAAACGTCGGTCAGTACGTGCGTTTACACTTGCTCTTTATCGACCCGCCATCACACTCTCACACACCTCTCTTCCTGTAACACTGTTTACCAGATGGCTATCTACATGGCAGCCTAAATGCCAGAGGAGGGGAAAGGGAAATGGAGGGGGGAGAAGGAGGAGGTGATGTGCAGGGTGCAGAGTGTGATGCAAATGCTGACCTGCACCACGAAGGTGTTAAACAAATGAGCTCATTTTTGGTTTACTTACATTTCAAGTTGGAATAGATTACTTCCTGCCTTAAAGGTCGCTATAGTGTTAAAAGTGTCACCATCTACTGTACATCAGATATACAGTGATGGACAGTGAGAGGACGTGGATGGGAAAAGGCTGTGGTTTAACATTAAAATTGAATGGTGAATTAAATAAATGTGAGTATTTTCAGATTATTGGTAAACTGATAGGGTGATACTGTCAATTATTGGGTGACTTATTGATAGAGATGGGTGTTTTTTAAAGGTGAGGTCACGACCCCATCTGAGGTGACATGAAATAGGGGTCGTTTTCCAACTAATTATTATTCTCTTCAAAATATTAAAAAAACGTTCATGCAATCTTTATCAACTTTATTCCTTCACTTTAATGAATATAAATCTTGACTGACAGCAATTCAGTGACAGCGACTATAATGCCTTTAGGGCCTGATAACATGTATATTTTTATCTGTACAAACCACTATATGTGTTGCTGCCACCTAGTGACTGGAGGCTTGTTATAATTCAAGCATCACACAATGGCCATATTCCATTGGAAGCCACCTGCCCCCCTGGAAACTCACTGTGCCCCCCCCCCTCCCAGGGGGCCCGCCCCACTATTTGAGAAGTAATACGCTAAAAAAAATATATAAAAAAATGTATATGCCCATCACATTAGAAAGTTATTAAATAAGAAAGAATATACACAGAGGATAGAAAGAAAGCTTACACCTTGTTGTCTGTCTTTCACTGTCCTTTAAAGGAACACTCACTGTCTTCGTCCTGTCTGTTGCAGATGGCACCATGCTCCCTCGACACCTGCGATCAAGTGGTTATGACCTGCCGGGGGTGGAGTCAAATGACGTGCCCCTCATTGGCTACCGTCCACTATCTCCGGACAGTTTCATAACCCACCATCAACAGGGGAGAGGGAACGGCGGCGATGACCATGAATCATCGCAGGTGAGTCTGTCATCATCCAAAAATGAAACACATACATCTTGTGATTTCGTTGAATTGTATCAGAGCTAGATGAAGTGTCAGCGTTTCTCACATCGTTACACAGATACTAACTGTGTTGTTTTTTAACGCTGACCGTCTCCCATCAACAGCTATTTTTCATTTGTGGACAGTCTTCTGGCATAGTTTAAATCAGTTTTAACGAAGCCGTATGAGCTGTTCTCTCTTCGTCTAAATCAACCACACATGTTGGATGTTTTTTAAGACAACACTGGGACGGAATGAAGACAAAACAGAACTGTTGTTTTACATATGGTTTCAGTTAAAACAGCTCATGTCACAAAAATTGTGGAGCATAGTGGGACTGTAGGTAGATGGACATTTGTGCTAGTTTGCATCCCATGAATAACATAGATGTAAAGATCTGAATTTATCCAGAAATGCAGCTTTTATGTTTTACAGAGTTGGGTAGAAACTTCCAGAACACAGCCCAGTAATGTCATCTGATCAGAGGTCGCCCTCATAGCTTTTAGCCTTTAGCTTTATTTTAAACAGCTTTAGCTAGGCCTCGGTCCATCCTGATGCCAGGTCTTTACCAATATGAGTATGAGCATTTTCATTTGTGTACTTGCACCGATACTTCTTTAAGTTGTTTTTCAATAAATATGCGATCAACTGGAAGGCAGTGCTGTGTGTCAGGTATCTTTATGGGAAATGATGTGAAGTGCTGTGTGTAGGTGTAAGGTCAAACCACGCAGCACCAATGCCTACAGACAGTTTTCTGTCATATCGACGGAAAACTATCGTGAGCCAAAAAAGGTTTGTCAAACACTGTGTTTGTAACACTCACTGACCGACATGTATCCAGTTGATCACGCTGCTCCCAGTCACTGGATTGGCATGTTATGGAGTAAGAGTTCAAGTATTTGAACGAGGGGCGTTAGCTGCGGCTAGTGCATCTAGCTAGGACCATCTCTGGTGTGCATTTCGTTTTCATACTGAGTAGTATTAGAGTTGAAGGTTCCATTCAAATGCTCTAAAATAACTCAAATAGAGGAAGCTCAGTCTGTTTATTGTATGTCTAACTTTCCCACGATACTTCACCGTCACCTCTTAATGTTTACTGACCAGAACATGAGCTTTGTTGAGTCTTATCAGATTCTGTATTTTCTCCTCCTCTGGGTGGTGCAGCAGTTTCTGTTTCCAAGATTCCATTTGTTCTTTTTCACATGTGGTTAGAACAATGTTAACCTTCCCTAAAAGTTACCATCAGCAACCAGATATTTTCACAAACTGCTGACCAGAGCTCTTTACCCAGGCCCACGTGAGCATTTTAAACCTCACACTGGGCCTCAGGAAAGTCCTCCGGCCTAAAGGGAAAGGAGCTGCGCTGTTGCTTTGAGACCATTGGCTTCTCTGCGACCACGTCACCCAGCAGCTGCTGGACCTCACAGAAAATGATCTACGCGGTGGTTTAACTGTTCGATTCACTGCACACCTGCTCTGCTTATGAACAGTATCCTGTGTCACGGGACTGTCCAAGGACTGTCTGTCAAGGGAAATCCGATGCGGTCACTGGCTTGTTCTCTAATGAGGCCAACGTGGACGTATGAGTCAGGGTGAAGTGAGGGGCTCAGATGACTGCTGTCATTCTAGGCCTGGTGAATAAAGTACAGTGTGTTTTTAGGTCAAAGTCTACTTAACAATATTTTACCTTCTCTATTTGAAGCTGATTAGGACACAGCAGATCCTCAAAGCTATTTGTTTATGAGATTATGAAAGTTGAATTGAACAACTTAGAAGCTTAGCTAAGCTAACTCTGCTAACTCTACGTTAGTGGGAATGGTTGTTTCACAAGGGTCGTTTAAGGCTAAAATTTAGCATTTTTTGGTAAATTATATATTTAAGGCTGACATTTGGCTAAGCTTGAGCGGTTGTACACATATATTTGACTGTTTTTACTAATTTCATGCAAGCTTTCTGATATTCTTCTACTAAATTTTATCTATTTTATTTTGGTAAATGTTTTATTAACCTGCACCATTTAGCTTTTGGTCATTAGCATTTTTTCCTCTTTAAACTAACCTGTTTAAATACTTTCAATTCAAAATAAATCTAATTAGAGTCAAAAGTGAATTTTTTTTTTCTACATGCAACAAACAAACATTTAACTTATAAAAATAGTGAGCTTTCATAACAGGTGAAATCACAGCCATGTGTACTGTGGACAACCTGGACATTTTGTGCACAAATATGCTCCAACTCTTATTTTATTATATTATATTTTGAGGATATTCTACTTTTTCTTTCGAGAAAATAGGAAGTAATCCCTCTGGATTCTGAACCACATAAAACCAGTGGTTTAATATAAAAACAAAGCTCCAGAAGATTAGTTGATGATCTACTGTTGAACCCACAGACAGTGTTGATAGTACTGTTTCAATATTGTTTGAAGTCTTTTTTGGACACGGCGGAAACATGTTGCAACAGGTTATTCTTCAGACCACAGGGGGTCAAATTTTGAATCCAGCTTCCTGTTGGCTTTTCTGGTGCCCTACAATAGCTGGTGTCGTTGTTTAACTGGTGCAGTTGACTCAGCCTACGCTTGTGATGGAAGGAGAGAGGAAGAAAAATAACCCTGCAAACAGAGAGAATGTCCTGCTTCCTGTGTTTGTCTCAACTTATTATGAACTTCCTGTATGTAGTTGGAGGCAGGGGAGGAGGGGACTCCGCAAAGGCTGCGCAGAAGAGAGAAGAGATGTTAAAAAAAGAAACAAAACGGAATCATCAGTGGGTTAAATAAACAAACATACCAGAGCTGGGAAAACAACAGTTGAGTCCCTCTCTGTTTTAACTGGTAATAACTCGTGCCAACCACCACTGTGGCCTGTAATTACAGTCTTAATCCTCCAGCCTCCCGGGCCACTGAAAACCAAATTTTCTTTGCTTTGAACAAGCTCCCCATAGACAGGAGTGGCATCTCTGACCCAGATTCAGAGAAAAAAATCAGCAGG